GTTCTCATTATTTTGAGTTTTAAAAGAGTTATAACGCATAGATTATAGATAGTTTCTTGATATATTAAAGCATTGAAACTATATTATCCACTATGATAGACGATACCTATCTATATAGTGTTTAATTTACTTTTAGTGTATAAATTATTTTCGTGAAAAAGTCTGTATACAAATATTTAATATATTCCGGAAATACGTGTGTGTGTTTTAAAATATTCTAATATTATATTAGTTTAATATATTTTATTACTTGAATTTGTTTAGTTATTTAAATTGGATGATCTAAAATATTTTAGAAAAATATATTCGGCGTGGTTGAGTGGGATGAGGCGACAGTGTTAACGATCGAGCCTCGAAGACTGTTCGAAACTCGATAGGTTTTCAATAAATTAGTTTATTTAATTTTTTTTTTACTTTTTACATAGTACGTTCATAAAATTATTTTTATAAAATTGTTATTTAACATTAAAGCGATTATTTAAAATTTATCTCGTAACAGTGAAATAAATGGTTATTTAAAAAATGTAATAATTTTCGATTTTTTTACGATCTACCCAAACAAACTCGAACGATTACATAAAAAAAATATCTTATCTAATAATTATAAGGTAAATGAATGCTAAAAGATGTGTATAATTTACATACGCATTATAACGTTACCGGGAAGAAATTTCGCGACGCTGTGCAAATCCAACCATATTATATTGCAGGTAATATTATTTCCTGATACATATTTTAAATTGTAATAATATAATATTATATTAGCTATAGCTGTACCTACAGCACTAGTGGCATAGCTGCACAACATGCATGTAACATATTGTGTGCAAGTTTACAAATATCCTTAAATTATCTGCCATAGATGAAAACGAGCAAACAGAAATAGCTGTGCGTTGTCTTATTTTCATCGTGGGTGTAAAAAGTAGTAATGAGTTCTTCTCTATTTGTAAACCGGTGTAGGCTGAACATAATATCATATTATTGGCTATTACGAAATGTCGCCTTGCGGTTAAACCGTATAGTCTACACCGCCACATGCTGTGAATAATATTGTCGGTGACGTAAATTGAACAAATATAATATAATAATAATAATAATAATAATAATAACATATATTATATCATATCAGGTATGTGCGTATTGTGTACACACACAGGTGTTTTGTGCTGTAATTTTTTGGTTTTTTTTTTTTTTAGACAGATTGGAGGTAGACGAAAAGTAAATTTGTCAAAATATTACGAAATTAACGATGTTATTAATTAGTATAAGAAAGTGTAATTTATAAAAAAAATGAATTCTCGTGATTTCCCTTAAAAGATAAAAACCAATTAATCATTCTATTATTATTCATGACAATGGCTAGGTGTAGGTAATATAATGTAATTATATAACTGCTGTAGTAATAATTTTAATTCCAAAACAAGATTGTAAAAACCATTTAACCTTACGTCGGTACCAAAACCATATGATACTATTATAATATAATATACAATATAGGTCTCCAATAGTATACGTCATATTCCATAAATGATGAAACTGCAAACAAAACTAACTTAGCAATAGTGATCTGGACATCTTACAGAACCATTTATTTTTTGAAGGATGTAAAATATAAATTTGTTGTATGAAATCAAATTCAAAGTTTGTTACTTTTGAGTATTTTAATATATTTCACAAAAATAAAAATATATATTATATATTTTAATAATAAAAAAAAAATATTTTATTATATTATACATATTTAACAAATTTAAGAATTTGTATCAATTATTTACATCATATCAGTGCATATTAACATACGATACTTATCGTTTTTTTTTTTATTTTTTAGTTAAAGAGCATTTCTTGGTTAATTTAGTTGCATAATATTTTGAACTTATTTTGTGTAATATCTAGGTAACTAGCTTACTAAGTATCAATTGTAAAAATCTTTGATTATAATAAACAATAAAGAAATCATAAATGATAAAGAAATTTTAAATTTATTTTATTCATACTTTTTTCTTCTTAATTAATACAATGAAAAACATTTAGATAAACATTTTAGAGCATTTTAAGTTAATTTTATTTGTAGGTATATTTAAGTTCATTGATATACTCTTAATATCGTTAAATAATGTTTAGCAATTGTTTAATGGTAAAATAATGTTTTGCAATGAGTTATCGTACTAAAAAATGTATTTTTACCCCGGGGAATTTATTCCGGGGTCTTAAGACTAAATTTATTTTAAGAATTTAGTTTATCTCTCTAGTATATACCTTTATGTTTATAAACATTTATTATTGACTTGATTTTACTTTGTAGTTAGGTACGTTAGTTGATTAGTATATTATAATGTACAGGCTAAATCGAAAATGTATTTAATTAATATTCTACTTGTAATATAATTTTGTTAAGTCTAAATAACACCTACTTTGTGCGAAAATATATAATATGAGATAATATTACATGCTAGTACAATATTAATATAACATTATAATGTATATTATATTAGTTTAATTAAAAAAAAAAATTATTTCCAAACAAACTTTTAAAATACCTAGCTACCTGTACACATTTGTTTGTACGTGGAAGAATTACAAGTTTCGTTCTTTTCAGTCTTGACGTATATGTGTACATATATTTTATAAGTGTGCGAGAAATGACACGTAAATCAGTTCCATTGACTATCGAGTCATTCGAGTGTATGTGGCTATACGTTGAATACACAATGAAACAATACGCATTCTCAGTGTTTAACAACATATAATATAATACATTTTTTCACTCTGTGTGCACAATTTATAGTCGCGTATGTTATTCTGAATAAATCGTAGTACTACATACTATACATGTCCACATATAATGCCATAACTTATCATACACCAGTCGATTGCAAGATAAGATATAGACAAACTTCTATACGGAAATTTCGTATTTGCGCAGATCCCCGAAGGTAGGTACGTACATTTGAAGAAACGTTCACTAGAACTTATTAAAAGTTTAGATTCACTTGGTGTATGTACATAATAATAATATATTATTGTATATTATTATATTATTGTATAGGTATAAAGGTTCGAATAGAATGACAATATTGTAAATAAACGTGGAAATACGCGTAGATATAATATTATAGTACCCATATGCATTTGCAGAGAGAATAGGTTCTTGGACGGGCAAAGACCTTAAAAGGCGCTGAGCAGAAAAAAATGTGCATGTACCTACCCATCAAAGGTATATACGCGCGCTGCGCGGGTATAATAATATGGTTTGCTTTGTCTTGTCCAGTCGACTGACTGATATTATCCACCACCGTCCTGTAATAATTATCATCATCAACAATTTGTGAGTCAAATGTTTATCGTAACCGGTTGATTAATATTATGTATCTGCAGATCGGGATTGTTCGTAAATCGTAATATTATAACCAAAAGATTTCTTTTGATAGATGAATATTGTTGACTATCGGATGAACAGTATAATAACAATATGTTTATACGTACCTACTACATAATAGTATAATATTATTCATTGTACATATTATGATAATAATATTATTTTATTCTCGAGACGTATATTTTATGGTACATATTGTGTACGAAGAAAATAATATAACAAATGCGATTCCTGCAACATGTCTCGCCATATAGTCGATGGTCCAGAGTCCCCTACCCTATAATGGTAGGCATAGTTGGTATGTCGTTGTACACAGTAAGTCCACTCGAACTGCAAACGGATAGTGGCATCTAAGTACCTACAGGGTTCAAAGAAACAAAAAAATCCAAAAAACTTTTTGTATTGCAAATTGTAATATTTATATACCGCATAATGTATTTCGTGTTGATCTAACAAGTTGACTGCAAGATAAGTTATAACAATACTTATCAACTTATCTGTAAGGAAATTCCGTATTCGTGCTGATGCAGTTCGTTCTGGTAGATAGGCACCTATAATTGAAGAAACGTTCTCTAGAACTTATTAAAAAGTTTAGATTTACTCGGTGTAGGTACCTATAAAAGTTCAAACAAATTTACAATATCCTAAATAAACGTGGAAGAAATGTTCCTAAGATAAAGTGCCTATATGCATTTGAGGAGAGAGTAGGACAAAGACCCTAAAACACACTGACCAACTATGAGCAAGAAAAAATGTGTATGGTATACCTAAAGGCTATACGAACGCTATAAATTATAATACGCATGTTGCGTGTTTATATAGTTTGCTTTGTCTTGTCCGTCCAGTTAACTGACTGATATTATCCACCACCGCACTCTAGTAATAATTAATAATTATCATCGTCAAACATTTTTTTTTGGTCAAATTTTTACTGTAACCGCGGTTGATTAATTTGATATGTATCGGATCGGGATTTGTTTACATTTAGATTTAACCAACACCAGTTTTCTGTTAATAGAGGAATATTGTTGATTATCAGATGAATTTAAGTATAATATTATATTTTGTGTTTACATAATACATATATTATTCATTATAGGTGGTAATAATAATAATTCATTTATTTGCATCATAAAATAATATTTTATATATATATATTATATAGGTACTTAATAAAAATACTTGATACCCCTCCAATAAGCATAGCTTGCGTTTTGAGCCAGTGAAAATAGTATAACAATAAGGCTTTATTCTCGAGACTTTATAGGTACGTCTTATGGTTCATTATGTGTTCGAATAAAATATAACCAAATATAATACATGTCACTATAATATAGAGGCGGTTGTTAAAATAGTTCACCCTAATGATAGGCGCATAGTAGGCACGTCATTGTATATAATAACAAGTCCTCCGAACTATAAATCGATATATATATATAATATATAGGTAGCTTATTTTATGTAAAATATACAGAGTTTGAAGAAAAAAAATTCCAATCGAAAAGAATGATCCGATTTCGTATTGTAAAATTGTAATGCTTTTAATTAATTACAATATAAATAATGCTCTTCGTTACATAATACAATAAATTATTAAACTTGTGAATGTTTTCATTTTCAGCTCGCCATTTTGGGAACGGTAGCATCCAAAATCGACGGAGGATGGGACACGGAGCCGAACACACAATACCATATACAGACGGACGAGGGGCCCGAAAGGTATTTCAAGTATCAGACCATTAGTGGTCAGTACCGTAAAGAGAGGCGACTGCAAGATGGAAGCGTGGTCGGAACGTACGGCTGGGTAGACGCAGACGGTTATTTGAGGCTCAACGACTACGTAGCCGATTCGAAGGGTAAGTCCGTGACACGTGTTGGGAATTTTTTTTCCCTAGTATATCAATTTAACTCGTAAACCAACACACCGGATTTTGAAATTTACGCAATATTTTCAAAAGCGTATTATAATTTATGAATAATTATTATATTTCTCAAATATTCCCGATAAACATAATATAATAATATTATGATGGCGAGTGGCGATGGACTATTGCGTAATTGCAATAACACTTTTTTTATTTCTTTTTAAATCGTGACTAAAGTGTAATAGTTTTAAACTAAATTAGTCGAGTGTAATATATTATAATAATATAATACACTCTATATAGACTACTATAATGTATACAACATATTATAATACACTGTATACATTAGTTTTTGTGGTATATTCAAGACTCAAGTGTCGAGAATGTTTTTACAACAGTATTGCATTATAGTGCAGCATTACACGCTGCACGTTATGCAATCTGTTAAGATCTTTTCGAGCCTGCATCATTTTGGTCAGTTATATTTAGTACATCTCTTTACAGTATATTATATATACATACCATAATTCTTCTGTAGTTCTGTCTATCTCAAAAAAAAATGTGTAATTGTATTAATATTTATATAATTACATAAAAAATATAATCCTTTTAGAATTGTTTTCGGGATCAAACATTTACGAAATCAGAGTAATCGGCTACCATTATGTAGGTATACATGTCTTGAGCCGAACTGGTTTTTTTTCTTCATAATACCCAGTAATTTGTTACTCGCTTAAGCCGTAGATACTTACTTTTCTCATTAAAAAAATATATCATTGTTACTTTTGTACACTATTAATTTATCAGTTTTTTATTTTACTTGGTAGCATATAAACCGTCAAGAACAAAAACACGTTTTACTGTCGAACGAAAATATTATAATATATTGCAAATTATTAATTTCTAAATTTATCGTTATTCGTTACTATACGCGTTAATGGATCAAAATTGTATGAAATAAATAAGATCTACATTATTATTTGCATTTATGAAGCTGATTTACAATAATATTAACCAATATGGTTCAATCAAACGTATATCATAAAGTGTTAAATTATTACTTAGAATCTACAATTTTTGTATTAATGAATTTCACAGTTAACACTTCCTATAGTTCCGACCCAAAAACCCCAAAAATAATGAAATATTGAATAATATTGAATATTTATATATACCTACTATAAACATAATATTATTATTGATGTTAATTAAATAGTATACTGCAATAGTTACACCTAGTCACCTAGACGATATGATATAATTATTAAAAAGAATGCAATTCTATTTAAATTGGTACTAATATGCTAATGAGTAGATGGCATATACCTACCTACTCTATTACATATACAAAAACTAATTAAATAATATTGCACGTACATTAATATAAGTAGGCTGTAGGCATACTTATCATGATCCGATAGTCACAATTATTTAAATGTATAAGCCTTATAAGTTATTCACCTCAATGTTCTAGATAGATCATTTTTATTTTTTATAAAACACGAGTTAGTACATTTTCATAACAGTATGTTGTAATACTTTATAGTAAAAGTTATTCGATTGCGTACACTTCATAAACACATTTTATGTAAATTTACAAAGAACTGTTTATGAACACCGAACAGTGCAGTTTTAATATGAACAATAATATTGACCTAACTATTAAAAACCTAACTATTTATTGGAGCAATTTATCAAGTTTATTGTTTTTTAATATTTTTGAACGTTATTTAATTCAATTATTTCCTGTGAATATATTATATTATTATATTTGTATACATATAATATTACCTACCTATATAATACCCTCGATAAAGGCTTCAATAAAATACCTAATAACAAAATTCAATTAAAAATAATCATGCATGAAATGTATACACAATATGCTTACAATTTAAATTGCAATACTTAACAACAAATGGTTCATTTATCCTTTAAAATATATCCTTCAATTAACATACGATATTTTTTATAATATGTACCAGAAAAGTATTATTATTTTTTTTATTTACTTTTTACGGTCATCTAAAATTTTACCGATGTGATAATAATAGGTCTTAGGAACACTATTAAGATAAGTTCACTTGTAAATGAGTTCACTATAAATACAAGACATGTCGATGGTACCTAGTATAGTCATAAATTAAATTACAAAATATCACAAAAAAAAAAAATAAGCAAACTACATATTTTTAATATGTATTTCAGTAACATTGGAAAAATGATAAAATATATAAGTACCTACAACATAATAATATAAACTGTGGAAAATTGATTTGTGTACCTACCTATTATAAACCTGATAAATAGGTCATGAAAATTTGCCAAATTATTTATAAATACGAACTATTTTTAATATCACATAATAATATGATTAAAATACCCAGGTACCTACAAATAAATTAAAATGTAAATAGTCAAGCCCTACGGTTAATCAATTGTGTTGACAATCATTTTAAACGTACTTAAATTATAGGTAGTAATAGATCCATACAAAATTTAAATTAAATTAAATATAGCTTTATTTCAGCAATATAGATCGATGCTTACCAACAATAACAAATTACGTAAACTATAAATAAATAAACTCGATTTTGAAACAAAATGATGGGTACATTATTATATGGTTCATTATTAAATGTAGTATCTACGAATTAAAAACTTGCTTTGGCGGGGGAAAAAATAATAGCTTGTACTTAATTATCATTTTCAATTTTATGCATTGTCAAGTGAAAATAAAAAAAAAATTAAACCAAAGCCTCGGACTTTAAAAACTGTTTCAAGTCCCTTTGTTATAATCTGCTACCGTACATTTATAATGTAGAAATAATGTGATTTTTAAATCTTACTTGCGTATATATATATAAATGTTTAATCGGTAAAAATATCACTAGTTAATATAATATTATGGCCACTTTATATGGTACATACTAAAAATGGGACGTAATTTTAGTATTATACTCTATAATATAATATGTTACGTGTGGGATGGGCGGAAACAAAAAAACTTGTCCAACATTACTATATATAGGTATCTATTTTTGACGATTTTTATAACACTGCAGCAGCAATAGATATTACTACGCTATTATAATAATATGTTCTATGTATTTATAATTTATGTATATTTTTGTCGATAATCTCATAATTATTTTAAAGTACAAAATAACTATTAAAACATTTTAATTATTCCTAAACCATATTTTAAATGTTTGACTTTTGGTTGAAAATGTATATAGCTAAAAGAGATACATATTATATGAGTCCGTTCTTATATTAGTAATATTGGTTATAGAATATAGATTAAAATTTAAAGCACGTCCTCAGAAATTTTTTTGGTCTTAAGTTTTCCTACTTTCCTTACACACAAGTGTAATAAATGATAGAACCAATCATTTTTTTATATAATTCTAAAAATAATTTAATCGATCGGCGATCACCATTCAATCGTTGTAATATAATTGTGATAATAAAACATGCTATGTATAATCTTATAATATATCTAATAATAATACTTTTTGTTGTGGATTCAACTGGAAATTTAAAAATTACTTAATAACTAAAATGAAATAGAATTTACAACGAAAAATGAATATAAAATATAATACAAATAACGATTACAATATTATAATATTATTTAAAAACAAAGTATATTAAGCATCGAATAACCATTGTACATTATCTATGTTGCAGGTTACAGAATAGTGAAGAACAAGAAGCTGTTCGTCGGCACCCAGACGCCCGTCGGTCAAGCCGTGTCGGCGGCCAAGTACGTGCCGCCGATAGCCGGTACGGCCGTCTCGGTGTCACCGTACCGGTCGGCCACGGCCACGATCGTCACCCGGCCGGCGGCCGTCGTAGCGGTCACCCGAGCGCCACCCAGCGAATCTTCGTGGCGTGGTTCGCCGTTCGTGTACCCGTCCGACACCCAATCGTCGCCACTGCGGTTCCCTGCGGCCGGGTCACCGCCGCGCTCGGTGGCCTCTCAGTTCCGGCGGCCGCAGCCTAGCACCACCGCGTCCCCCACCGTTGACTATAACTATTCCGTGCGGCCGGTGGACGTCAACTCGATCGCGGGCACCGCGGACGGCGGAGACGGTGACGACGACGACGAGCGACGACGACCGTACGGACGGCGTTCGTCATCGTCGTCGTCCACCGCGGCCACGGTCGCGGCGTCCACGGCCTCGGAACAGCAGCCGCTGTACGAGCAACCGTTGAGGCCGCACACGTTCCGGCCCGCGTACCGAAAGGTGGTGGACATGTCAGCCAGGACGACGATGGGACCACCGGCGGATCAGGCGCAGTACGACGGCGTATCGTTCGTCCGGAACGGCTTCAAGTACTACCTGCCCCGACACTACCACGAGGAACAATCGGATGACACGGGCGACACGCGCGCCGGCAGCTTCGGTTACGTGGACCCGTTCGGCATCAGGCGGGTGGTCTACTACAACACGGCGCCCGGCACCGGGTTCGTGCATCGCAAGAACAACCGTTACGTGGGCCTCGACGCCGAGCCCTACGACCCACGTCCGTCGCAGTGATCGGGCAATCGTGCCGCCGACGACGGGTCCTGTCCGACAATGTATTGTAATTAAGGCGGGTGTCCGCTATAAGCGTCGTAACTGCGGTAAGAACGTGGTTAATCGCGCGGTAACCTAACCTAACCGACCGATCGCATTGGAAGGATTTAAGCGAACGCGTATATAGTGGAAACCCGCCTTTATAAATTATTATTGGTCGTCGTCGTCGTCTTCGGGTTAGGTCACGTAACACGGTGCACGTGTACATATTTATATATATACAGCAGAACCATAACAAACCATAACCCCGCGCCGCCGGTCGCCCGGGGGATGCGAGAGCATAACGTAATAATAATAGTATTATCGTATAGTCACATCAGCTATCGCGTAATAATATTATATTATAGATGGTTGTATTATTACGCGCACTAGCCATAACGCAAAGTTAAAGAATCATCACCCGTTCTCCTCCGGTGCAGCAGCAGCAGCGATGCTCGTAGATACCTATATAGGTAGGTAGTTGTAATAATGATTAGTGTTAGTTTTTTATTATTTTCCTTTTTTTCTGCGATTCTCTCGCCCTCCCCCCTTACAACAATTTTCATTTGTTGCCTATATAATATACATATATATATATATATATATATATATATATATATATGATACCGTTAATGACATAGAACATGACTACCACTAATATATAGACGGTGTCGTATAATACTAAGTAGAAAAAACTCGCAATTTATTAGAATATTATAAGATACACACTCGGAGACAATTGCTGGGCGTGCGTTACGACTGGAGACTTGATCCGGACCTCGCATTAAAACAAGTAATAGGTAATAATAATAATAACATATTATAATGTGTAATTATTTTCAAAACATTGCCATTAGTGTCGCCGTTCAACGGTGACGATAACCAGTATAGGCTGAGTGTAGACTATATATATCTACTATTATGCTACAACTGTAGTGGATGATTATTAATTTTTAACTATTATATTAATATAGGCAGGTATGCAGAGCCCAGTGGTGTACTGATAAGGTGCAGAGTTGTAGGTGAAACAGCTGATTGACCGATATACCGTGTGACCACAAAAACAGGGTAGGTACACAGAAAAAAGTGAAGCTGTTGCACACGCCCAAGAGTTAAAAAATATTAAGTCATAGGAATTAATCAGCCAATAGTTGTTTAGTCTCGTGTCCCGCGAACAGAATTCAAAACTTTGTATAGGGTACTGAGTAAAATAAGTAACTGAGTTAAATACCTATAGTGTACCCTGCAGGCTTTGTAGACACACGATATATTATTTTGTCGGTCACTGCATCATAGACTGTCACCAATAGAATCGTTCACCTGAAATATTTTATCGAGTTTAAAAAAGAAATGTACCTAAACAAAATTCGCTTTTTTATATTCATAATTAATATACAGATTATAATATATTTTGTACAATATCCGTATTGTACCATCCGAAAGGTTCCAAGTACACCACTGGAACATTGTGGTACGTCGATAAAACATTGATGTTTTCACTGATCTAACTGCACGTTAATGCGAGTTATTAATTTAAGTCTCTTTTTATAACTATGCCTCAATCTCGTTAATGTGTGTACAGCTAGTCAAAATGAGTATAACTTTAATTTTATTTATTAATTTAACGGTCGATATGTATTTTAATATCCGTTTTCCGAGGCTATATTTTTATAGAAATATAATATTTTATAGACCAGCGTCGCCTGATCGAAAATATCACCTAAGTATAATATTATCATATTTGGTACCCCTGAATAGGTACTATTATCTATCCGAGTTAATGTACTTGTTTTTTTTTCATCTATAATGATACATTGCCAAAACCATTCTCGTCCGGTCTGAGTGGACTTGAAACAATAGAATCACCAATGTTGAAACCTGTGAATGTAATAGGTACGAATCTCACAGATTGCACAACTGCGGGTGATTATTTTAGCCATTGTGTACCACAGCCAATAAATCTATACTCCATTGTCTACAATCGGCAAGTGTTTGCCATAGTAAATTACACTTATTATTATATAGAATTATTTTAGAAATTCTTGTAAAAATGTGCCACGCAAGCGTGCTCAATGTTGAGCAAATATTAATTTATTTTATACGTTTAATTAAATAATTATTAAATTATACTAATATGTTACTAATATAATACGTACAAATCAGCGTTGTGATTTTTTTTTTTTATATAATATAGAAAACATAAAAATTAATTAATGATAATAATATTTTAAAAAAAAATTAATAATAATAGTAATAAATATATATTTAATATTTATAGATAAAAAAATATAAATACAGATCGCACAAGAAGTGAGTTTTGTTTTGCAAAAATGTTTTTCTCTTTCTTCCTTTTCCTATTGTACCTGAACGTAAATGCTGGGAAAAAAAATACGCGAGTCTATATACATATGGCGAACGCACGTTTTATTGTATGCAAATGGCTATATTATATTTTATTGTGCACAACAGCTGTTGCCCAGTAGAAAGTAAGCAAAGAGTCTATTACGGTGTTTGAATGACCAAACAGGCTGTCTTCTATTTTTGGTTTGAAAAAGTAAAACAGGTATATGCATAGCCCAAACTCATCAACATCGTTATCATTGCCGCATCCTCTCATCTGTATTCGAGAATTTTTTTTTTCCAGGACTTCACGATACTATGGGTGATTGAGACGCGCATATAGTATTATTATTTATGTGAAACTTGTGTGAAAAATATTCACGTTAAGTGATCTGACGTAGCAAAATAAACATTTGAAGAACAATAATAATATATTATATAGGTACCTAGTCTTTATTTCGAACATACTGAAGTAAAATTATCTGCATAATATAGTCGCATTTAAATTGAACCTAATTAAGTATTATTGAAACATTGCGATTAAAGATGGTTTATTGAAATTATTAGGTCATATAAAAATAAACGTGCAGAAATTTGAGAGGCAGAATAATATTGTTAAAAATTATCCGGTCTTGTTAATATTATTATGAAGACGTACTTTGATTCGTCTCTTCGTGATTACCTAGGAAGCGGTAATCAACTTTAAAGTGATGGCAGTTTAAGTAGGTACATTGTGTACCTATGTTTTTCTCTTCGTATAGTTTGTTACCCCCCACTCCTCAATCGTAACTATTATATCTATCACCCTCGAAATTCGTCCTGTTTTGCGTACACCCGAAGAACTCCAAAACGTTGATTACGATGCCTCTGGAGAACGGGTTGTAGTATTTGCCTCTGCTGTTTTTTAGGTACGTGTACTTTTTATGGTTGATCATCTCGTTTCTGGTCAAATTCATCAACGCGTTGATACACTGAAAGAAAGAAGAACAACAATAACAAACATCACTTTATGTATTCAAAACGTCAAGGAACTTTATCCGTACATGATATTCTGATACAAGTAAGTCGTAAGTGCATGGAATCCATGTGAATATATCGTTTTATTAACTGTATATCGACGTAAAGTGTATCCTTGCCAATATGTATTATGTTATATACATTTTTTTTGATATACAATTTTGGAAAACTTTTACTTTATTAAAGAGTCAAAAATATGAAAATATGTATCAAACGCTCTGTATTTACCTCGAAATAAAAGGTTCAAGCTCTTGTTTTAAAGTTTCATCAAAATTCAATATACGGTTTATAAAATTAGGTGTACCTAATGAATAATAATATGTTTAGAAAATTCATAAAGTGAATTTATATACTTATCTTAAAAGTTAGATTATAAAATAAGTTTTCGTTAAGTAAATATTATTAAAAATAGAACTTATGAGTTGAATATTTTTAAGTTTAGATAGAATTCTAGTAGAAGAATGCAGTTCATTGGTAAGGTGGGTGAGTAGAAGGACACTGAAACACCCTGTGTATATTATCTTATGTGGTTACTATAGATATTATACTTACGATCGTCGCAGTAAGGGCCCAGCTCAGAACACCAAAAGCAAATGCTTGCAAAAGGGCCAGGACGTAAAATACGTTAAAGCCGTCTACGTTGATCGTGCAGCACACCAAGTAAATCACATACGAACAATTCATTGCTAGACTGATTACGAACCAGAAGAACCACGACCTATGAACCAATCCGAACAAGTGTATAAGCTTTACCCGTTGATTTAGGTTGTAGGGTAGACTTTTAATATACTTATATAGATTTATACATAGGTAGGTAGACATAATCTGCTGTAAATTCTTGGGTAGGACGGTAGTCTGTGGTAAAACTAAAAATCTATAATATCAAAAGATACTATTGCCCCCTTGGTTAAATATTTAAGGGGGCAGTTGTCCCCCTCTCCCCTCCCTATGGTTAAATAGCTAACTATCATACAGTGACACTCACATATAAATATACGAAATAATGAAACTGTACTATCGGAATTAGCTTTTCAATATTGTAAAAAATATATTCTTTACAAACTACAGATTATTGTAATATTATATTTCCATAAGAAAACCCTATAATATATACTTTATATCAGGGGTCACCAAAATGGCGGCCCACGGACTAATGTCATCCTGTCCGCAGACAAGAAAAAAATGTAAAAACCGTTAGTATTATACGTTCCAGTGTTGTAATTTATAATTTTTCTTCATTGGTTTTTACTAGTGGTCCCTATTACACGTGTATGAAATTACACGTGTAGTTCGTGTAGTTTTGATATACGTGTATTAGTTCGTGTAACTAAAATTATACGTGTATTTTTAATACACGTGTATTATTATTTATTACACGTGTACAAGTTCGTGTTATTTAAGTACACGTGTAAATAATAAATATGTCATAAATAAAGGTTTATATATTTTTATAAGAATACAATTAAAAATACAAAATTACAGATAAAAAGACCTTTTCGGCGGAGTCTATAAACGTCCGAGTTTTTAGGTATCGAATAATATATAAAATATGTACCTTTATAAAGTTATAAATAATATTTTTACCAACATTTATGTAGTATATAACACATTATATACTACATACTATTATACTCGTATATTATATTCAAGTGCATTATTGACTACACGTTTATCGAGTTTTCGATAAGATAAAGTTAAATCGGTACCACGTGCCGCGTTCAAATTAAATTAAATTGTATTGCTTTTTCGGATTATACAAATTTATTCTACTTGTTGTTCGTTTGCACGATCCACGGATACATGTCTGTTATATTGTACATTGGTAAAATACTAAAATGTCAATGCGTGGAAAAAGTTGGGTTTGGCAGTATGCTAAACGTATTGAAAATAAAGCGTACTGCAATTTATGCGATGAAGATGATAATAACGAGTTTTCTTGTCCCGGAGGTACCACCGGCTCATTGGGAAGACATTTAACTACTATTCACGGCTTAATGGTTAATGCTGTGATTAATAAAGAACAGTAAGTAATATACATTATATACTATAATTGGTTTAAAATGTTTAAATTTAAAGCAGATTATACATAACTTTGGTAGTAACGTTTCAATTTTGTATACTCAAATCTTTTCTGTTATTAATAATTGTGTCCCTACATACGAAAAACTTAAATTTAACTTAATACATTTCGCTTCACTTAGAATCTAAAATATAAAAAATCAGTGCAAAACTTTTCTTAGTAGTAAATAAAAATATAAGTATAATAAATAAGTTAAATAAACTATAAACCGAATTTTTTTTAAATATTTATTATTAGACCAAGGACACACGATGAACAGCAACCGGAAAACGACAGTGACGAAGTTATGGATATTGATGAGACAAATAAAGAAATAAACCTTGAAAAAAATGGAAGATCAAGAAAGAGAAAGAGACGAACAAATATACATTATCAAAACACAAACAATGGCAATAATGCACGTTCTTGTTCGAAAGACAGGTGTGAATTAATTAACAAAGCATTAGCTAAAATGATAGCTGTAAATCAGTTGCCATTGTCATTTTGCTCAAGTAATGGTTTTCATGATTTCATGTCTGTAGTAGAACCAAACTACAAGCCATGCAAAGAAGAAGCAATTAAAACTAGATTAAAAATATTATCTTCAAATATTGAAGAACTTATAAAAAACGACTTGCAAGATGCTTCTAGTATATGTTGCACAACCGACTGTTGGACCTCGATTTCACAGGAATCGTATATTACAGTGACCGCTCACGTAATTGATTCTAATTGGTGTGCTAAATCATATACATTGACTACACACGAAATGGATAAGCGTCATACTGCAGAAAATTTATCAGAACAACTTATAAATACTTTTGGCAAATGGGATATTACTAACAAAATATTAGCAATAGTAACTGATAATGCGAAAAATATAACTAATGCCATTCCTTTGATAAATCCAGAAATTTATAGTGTTAAATGTGCAGCACATAGTCTACAACTTGCCGTTAATTGTGTCTTAAAAAATGAAAATATAGTTAATATAATAAAACAATGCAATAAAATTGTAGGGCATTTTAAACATTCAACATTAGCTAAAACATCACTTGAAGAAAAACAAGAATTACTTGGCTTAACAAAAACAACTTTACTTCAGAGTTGTAAGACAAGGTGGAATTCTATATACCTTATGATGGAACGTCTCGTTTTGAATAGATGTGCAATATTCAATGTTTTAGCAGATCGAACTATAACATCTCAATCTATGGCTCAAAAACTCGAAATTAAAGAACATGAATGGTTATTTATCGAGTCGCTTATACAATTTCTTAAACCGATATATGTCACTACAAACATTTTTTGTACGGAAAATAATTCGTCAATATCAATGATTAGACCATTATTAAAACAAATTATTGAAAAACATTTAATGCAATGTCATGAAAATGAAGATACCATTGTACAAACATTGAAACAAACATTAGCTTCAGAAATTAAACGCCGCTTTTCGCTTGAATGGGATTCAACTGAATCTGTATTATTAGAACAAATTGCTTCATTCTTGGATCCTAGATTTAAAGACTTAGACCACGAAGTATTATCTAATCATGAGGCAATCCGCTCTAAAATAAAACAAATAATCAACCAAAATAATTATCTCGAGCCCAATGAAATAACTACAGCTTCTCAAGAACAACAAAATAAACATAGAAGTGATCTTGAATATATATTTGGAATCAACAATGAAGAAAATGATCTAACAAAAGAATTTCAAAACTATTTAGCAGAACCGCAGTTGAGATTTACATTAGATCCCTTAGAGTGGTGGAAAACACGATATTCAAAATATCCGACAATAGGTAAACTTGCTAAAAAGTATATGGCAATTACTGCAACATCAGTGAGTGCTGAACGTTGTTTTTCAACTGCTGGTAATATAGTCACCCGAAAAAGAGCTTCCTTATCACCAGAAAATGTAAATTTACTTGTATTTTTGCATCAGAATAAACAGCTGATGATTTAAAATTAAAGCTATCTATTAAAGTATGATATATTAAAATTATTTATTTATTATTATTTAATATTAACTGGATTATAATTAAATATTTTTTTAGGTACTAAATAGGTACTTTTTGTTGTTTTCCTGTATTCATTTTTTGTTAAATTATTATTATTAGTATTAATATTGTTTCAAATGTTATTATTATTGTTAGTACTGAATAAATAGTTATAAATACTAATAAATTATGAAGCGTAATATTTTTTAATAAATATAATTTTTATTCATGGAATATTAATTACACGAACCAATTACACGTGTATTTAAAATACACGAATCAATTACACGTGTATTTAAAATACACGAATCAATTACACGTGTATTTAAAATACACGAATCAATTACACGTGTATTTAAAATACACGAACTTCGTGTACACGTGTATTTTAAAAACACGTCTAAAATCGTTACCACTAGTTTTTACCTCCGTCTGCAATATTTCGATGGACTTATGGACTTTCAACAAACAATTGAAAACAAATACAATTGAATAATTTCCAGATTCCTAATATGGCTCTTCAAAAATATTTATTGGTGACCCCTGCCCAACATAATATATTAATACGTACCACAGTACCATATTCTAACTATAGTTCAATTATAAGTTAACTTGGGTAGAGTTTTCATTCCTACAGCAATTTATTTAACCTACATACGTAGGAGCCCTAGAAAACCAAACTTTGATTTTAAAAAGATAAATACTCAGGTACTTTACCTGTTGCTGAGTCCGATGCAATTGATAACAAATTGACAGTGGTGGTCGAAGTGCTGGACGCATCTGTTGCACAGTCTGCAGTGTTTAGCTCGCAAGGGTCTTACACAGCGACACGTGTGACAAAGTCTTGACAGAATATCTCTTTTGGTACCCATGTCACACGGATAAAACGGTAACTAAATAAATTTGAAAAAATGTTTGTAAAATCAACTCAATAGCTTGACTTCAGATTATATAATACATTTTTTAATTAATAAAAATCATTATTAACCATGATAGGCGATATTGTATATTATTAATATTATTCTTAATTATTATTATAATTGAATGTATTATATAATATTCACTTGGGTATAAATTAAGTGTATTTCATTACTCTGATTAAGTCATCGTAGTATAATTATGTAAATAATTTAAATTTGTCACGTCATGAATTGTTTCCAAATGTGTATACAGTATAGATATACGTAATATATTAAGAATCATTAACAATTTACATTATGGGATACGTAAACTATATATTTTTTATTTATGACTTTCTATTTATGAATTTAATATAAAATCGATACTATATTATTTTATTCGATAAATAAAATTACTTGTCTAATGGTTTGAATGTAACTCCCCGAATCGATTGGTAAGAATCCGGGATCTGAATGTTTCGTAGTAAGCCAACATATCCACATGAAAATATTCCAGGCTAGATAAGTGTAGTGACAACCTCTCGTTAAGTTCCATGTAGCCGGTATTACCTATAATAATATTGTCGCACAAGACTGTTAAAAATCGGTACATACGTTTTACTGGTTATAGAAAACACTGTCTCACTCTGTATATGTAAAGAGGATACCACCAAATCAAGAAGGAACACAGAAATAGCAGCAGAGGACCTTTCGAATACGCCGAACTTCCGAAAATTGCATTTCTGTAACAATAAAAGTTACTTAGGTATTTACTACGCATACAAATCGCTTTGCACAATATTTTATAGTGCGGTGTTGTAGTCTTACAACGCTTTGTGGAGAGGCACCATCCATTTCTTTCTCTTCTTGATCTCTCTGTTCAGCAGCCCGGCGATGTCCTCGTACCTGTGGTTCACGGCCAGGCCCAACGGGGTTTTGCCATTTTTGTCCCTGGGTTGTAACGATATTTGACTCTGTAACGGCCAACAGGCGAATATAATTATATAAATTACTGACAGTCAATCGACGATGTTGTTTTAATTGGTTAATGCGTTCTAACGTACCGGTGTTTTTGACAAATTAAAGCTTTACAACCTGGCGTGCCCAGGAATTTTCAACAGGGGGGATGGGGTGGAGGTTATAAGTATTAATACGTTTAAATTAATATGGTGGTAGTACTAAGCACACAAATAAGCGGATAATGGTTGGGGGTGATATAGCCTCTCTTCTGGATACGCCACTGGGTAGGTAGTTAGTTAAGAGTTTTTCAAAATAGAATCAAGTCGATAAATTTGTTTATTCTGTGAATCTATATAGAAGGTATAATTCACCACTTAAAAAATAGATTTATCTTTGAAATTGATTCATATATTATATAGGTATCTATAAATATTATTATGATACAATATTATTTGTTTATAATAACGATCGGGTGATGACGTCCACATAATCGACTGGAATTATATGTATTGGCAGATAGATTCCTTACATGAACAAACAGACATGCACATTGTCTGCTTTATGATACTGTTATAATGATTCTGTATAATATAATAATTTAATATAAATGTGTTAGGAAAAATACAACAAAAACGTAAAAAGTAATGAAGTTATTTAAGTATGCACCTACCTATAGGTTAGGCTATCTATTTGAAATTTCTTATTTATTACTTTTATGAGCTATTATGATGTTTATACAGCATTATAAGAGTTCACGATTTACATAGAAAAAACCCATGATGTGAGCGTATATTTAGTCGAATAATTTCACACGATCTCGAATGCAATTAAAAAAAAAACCAATTTCACTATATAAGAGAGTATTTTCTGTGTTTCGTACACCTATTATAGTTATTTGTAGCTATATTACTAAATTAGAACACCATAAATTGCACATATTTCCGAACTAAACAATGTGTGTGCTAGTCAGAGCAACAGTACTCTGTGTATTATTATTAAATAAAAATACCTAATAGAGTCTATTCCCAAAACCTTCAGCCTTAAACACAAATTCGTGCACGACGGTACAATTTATAACACTATTGTTATGATATTATTAAAATTATTATTTTAAGTTTATTTACACACAATGGTATTTTGTCACATTGGATTTTCATACAATCGAAGGTACCTATACGAACATATTTAAATTTAAACTGACTAGTTCTCTTACAGTGCATTGTGAAATCAATAAAAAAAATATAGTATTCATATGCCTTGATTTTAGAATAGGCTATAGCCAATATTTAGACTAGCTGTATATATACTGCTATTCAAGGGGTATTAACTTTTTCACTTGGCTACCTAGTTAAAAAGGCAATTACACTAATGTAAAAACCAGGCTATTTTCAATTGATTTGAAAAATAATTCTTCAAGTTAAAATCATGTTTATATATTATATTATTCATTGTTATAATTAAATGTTCTGAGGCTGAAATAAAAAATTAAGTAAATGATAGTAGAATGTTCTATAAACTATTGTAATAATTTCAATCAACTATTACTTATTATTGTTTATACCATTAGAAGTTGAACATTCGTGTAGAAGGTGATCTAAATAGTAATAATTGTAAGTGTATTTGGTGATCTATCAAATTTTATAAATATTTTTTAACAGTTGCCTTTAACATTTATTTTGCAGTTTGGCGTGATAGTACCACTTCTGAACTATTACTTCGATATCTTATCGAACACTGTGAAGCCGTGAGGTCAGTAATTAATTACAAATATATTATATTCAACAAATTTTTAATTGATATGCAAAAATCGTATTGTATACTCAAATATTATAACAGTATAATAATTGCATTATTTTTATTTTACGGTTAGATTTCTTTGTATTATAATCCTTAATAATTAATAAAAAAATAAGGTATATGTAATAGTTAATAACGCATTGTTGTTTCAAATGTTTGTGACAGATCCACTTACAATAAATCGGTATAAGATCTCCGCCCCGCAGTAGGTAGATCACCGATGCTACAGGAATGCCGAAATAGTTGTATAAGCACTGTGTGTGACCCAGCCACCCAGGCCGAGGTAATTAAAATTAAAACGTCCAGTATTTTTTTTGTTAACCGAATGAATGAACAATAACAATATATCCTCCTGATTAACATAATATTACCCACCTAAACACTGTCTATGATAAAATTATAGTTGAATACTATTAAAATATGGTTTGACGTTAAATACGGGAAAAATAATCATTTGGCATAGGTATTATATTCTATTGCAGTAACTATAGGTACCTAGTATTATAACGTCCTATATATTTGAGTATTATAATAGTATAAAATTGTTGTCAATAATTATTAAATATAATAGTAATGTATATCTAATATATAAAAAAAATTAAATAATATATTATTATACTTTTTGTAAAATGATTGCAAATATAACTTTGAAAATTATTAAAAGTATAACTTAGAATTAATTGTCATACTCAATAACTTTAACATATATTAATATAATTATTATAATATTTTATTTATATATATTTTCCAAATTGTATGCAACGTGTAGGTTTTAATATTTTCAAAATTATATTTACAATAATTTTACAAATATTATATATTATTTTATTATTTAATAAATTATACACACAACTATTATGTTTAATACTATTATTGACTACAGTTTTTTTATAATTATAATTATTTATTTATAAAATACATTTTTCTTATACCTACGATTTGGGTATATATATTTAATAATCGTCTATATAAGTATAACATAAATACCTGTATAGTATATATTATAATATTGATTCATTTTGAACTCGGAAATCGAATCGGCAGAAAAGGGGAGGGAACTGTTTTGGTCGAAACGATATCGCCCATAATGTCGTGCCCCCGGTAGACGGTCGGGGAGGTGGGTGTACAACAATAAGACATATCATATATTATAAGGTATCGACACCCACGTCTATGATCGACCTACCTATGTGTGCGCATAATACCTGCAACAGCACTTGGACGGCGGCGGTGTGACCTTTGCGGCATGCCCAGTGCACCGGCTTGGAGCCCTGGATCCCGTAGCATGACATGTCCACGGTCACGCCCCTGGCCACCAGGTACCTGAGCACCTCGGCGTTGCCGTAGAGCGCGGCCCAATGGGCAGGCGTGTAGCCCCATTCGTCGCGGAAGCTGAGTGCCTCGCCGCCGCACTTGTCCACGGCGAACTCGAACCCGTCGTAGTCGCCGGCCTTGATGGCCTCCAACAGCGGTTTGTACCTTTGGTCTTCGGAGCTGTGCACGTCCAGCGAATCGGCCGAACACCCGTCGTGCATGCCGTCGTTGTTGTTGTTGACGTTTATGTCGACCACGTCGTCGTCGTTGTTGTTGTTGTTGTTGCCGTTGCCGTTGCCACCGGCACTGCCACTGCAGCCACTGCTCACCATGTTATGTCACACAGTGTTATCGATTTTTTCTCCGGCGTATCGCGACTTCCGCGGAAATATTACAATATTGTGTAATTGTGTTTTAGGTAGGCAGGTGCCCGTTATATATAATCGTATAATATCTGTCCGGCGGATTTCGGCGACGCGAGAGAAATTATATTTGAAAAAAATACCAAAACCCCGAACGGTCTATTCCCAAAACCTTCAGCCTTAAACACAAATTTGTGCACGACTTTACAATTTATAACACTATTGTTATGATATTATTAAAATTATTATTTTAAGTTTATTTACACACAATGTTATTTTTGTCACATTGATTTTCATACAATCGAAGAGTACCTATACGAACATATTTAACTGACTAGTTCGTCTTACAGTGCATTGTGAAATCAATAAAAAAAAATATAGGTATTCATATGCCTTGATTTTAGAAAATGCTATAGCCAATATTAAGACTAGCTGTATAATATTACATATTCACGGGGTATTAACTTTTTCACTTGGCTACCTAGTTAAAAAGTCAATTACACTAATGTAAAAACCAGGCTATTTTCAATTGATTTGAAAAATAATTCATGTTTATAATATGTATATATTCATATTGTTATATAATTAAATGTTCTGAGGCTGAAATAAAAAATTAAGTAAATGATAGTAGAATGTTCTATAAACTATTGTAATAATTTCAATCAACTATTACTTATTATTGTTTATACCATTAGAAGTTGAACATTCGTGTAGAAGGTGATCTAAATAGTAATAATTGTAAGTGTATTTGGTGATCTATCAAATTTTATAAATATTTTTTAACAGTTGCCTTTAACATTTATTTTGCAGTTTGCTTGATAGTACCACTTCTGAACTCTTACTTCGATATCTTATCGAAACACGGTGAAGCCGTGGAGGTCAGTAATTAATTACAAATATATTATATTCAACAAATTTTTAATTGATATGCAAAAATCGTATTGTATACTCAAATATTATAACAGTATAATAATTGCATTATTTTTATTTTACGGTTGAGTTCTTGTATTATAATCCTTAATAATTAATAAAAAATAAGGTATAGGTAATAGTTAATAACGCATTGTATGTATTCAAATGTGTTGACAGATCCACTTACAATAAATCGGTATAAGATCTCCGCCCCGCAGTAGGTAGATCACCGATGCTACAGGAATGCCGAAATAGTTGTATAAGCACTGTGTGTGACCCAGCCACCCAGGCCGAGGTAATTAAAATTAAAACGTCCAGTATTTTTTTTGTTAACCGAATGAATGAACAATAACAATATATCCTCCTGATTAACATAATATTACCCACCTAAACACTGTCTATGATAAAATTATAGTTGAATACTATTAAAATATCGTTTGACGTTAAATACGGGAAAAATAATCATTTGGCATAGGTATTATATTCTATTGCAGTAACTATAGGTACCTATTATTATAACGTACCTATATATTTGAGTATTATAATAGTATAAAATTGTTGTCAATAATTATTAAATATAATAGTAATGTATATCTAATATATGAAAAAAAATTAAATAATATAATTATTATACTTTTTTGTAAATGATTGCAAATATAACTTTGAAAATTATTAAAAGTATAACTTAGAATTAATTGTCAATACTCAATAACTATAACATATATTATAATAATTATTATAATATTTTATTTATATATATTTTCCAAATTGTATGCAACGTGTAGGTTTACTATTTTCAAAATTATATTTACAATAATTTTACAAATATTATATATTATTTTATTATTAAATAAATAATACACACAACTTTTATGTTTAATACTATTATTGACTACAGTTTTTTTATAATTATAATTATTTATTTATAAAATACATTTTTCTTATACTTACGATTTGGGTATATATATTTAATAATCGTCTATATAAGTATAACATAAAGACCTGTATAGTATATATTATAATATTGATTCATTTTGAACTCGGAAATCGAATCGGCAGAAAAGGGGAGGGAACTGTTTTGGTCGAAAACGATATCGCCCATAATGTCGTGCCCCCGGTAGACGGTCGGGGAGGTGGGTGTACAACAATAAGACATATCATATATTATAAGGTATCGACACCCACGTCTATGATCGACCTACCTATGTGTGCGCATAATACCTGCAACAGCACTTGGACGGCGGCGGTGTGACCTTTGCGGCATGCCCAGTGCACCGGCTTGGAGCCCTGGATCCCGTAGCATGACATGTCCACGGTCACGCCCCTGGCCACCAGGTACCTGAGCACCTCGGCGTTGCCGTAGAGCGCGGCCCAATGGGCAGGCGTGTAGCCCCATTCGTCGCGGAAGCTGAGTGCCTCGCCGCCGCACTTGTCCACGGCGAACTCGAACCCGTCGTAGTCGCCGGCCTTGATGGCCTCCAACAGCGGTTTGTACCTTTGGTCTTCGGAGCTGTGCACGTCCAGCGAATCGGCCGAACACCCGTCGTGCATGCCGTCGTTGTTGTTGTTGACGTTTATGTCGACCACGTCGTCGTCGTTGTTGTTGTTGTTGTTGCCGTTGCCGTTGCCACCGGCACTGCCACTGCAGCCACTGCTCACCATGTTATGTCACACAGTGTTATCGATTTTTTCTCCGGCGTATCGCGACTTCCGCGGAAATATTACAATATTGTGTAATTGTGTTTTAGGTAGGCAGGTGCCCGTTATATATAATCGTATAATATCTGTCCGGCGGATTTCGGCGACGGCGAGAAATTATTATTTGAAAAAAATACCAAAACCCCGAACGGTCCACTGGCGATCGGCCCGAAAACGAAATAATAATAATAATAATAGTGGTGGATAATAAAACGTTTTGAGCGAATTGCAAACGAGTGTGTTACCAGTGGGTTGCTGCGCGCGTTGCCCGCGAGTCGTAGTAGGGTCGTGTGCCGAGGAGCGTGCGCCGATCGATTGTAAAGTATCCGGCGGCCGCCTCCGCCGCTGACTCAGTTTGACCACTTTGCTACTCGCCGACACGATAATAATAATATTATATATTGCGAGTTATTTTATTCCGTCATGGTTCGATAAAAACGGCTTTAAAAAGTTTAAAACCTTTTCCGACAAAAATACAAATAATAATAATGTATAAGTGAGCTGCCCGATTTGCTTGTGCGGGTGTGATACGTCAAAGGATCACAATTAGCTGGGTACTAAATATTTTAAGGAAAATTAGTTAACGTATAGGCAATTCGTACACTGACGTGGTAGTTATATTACCGTTTCTTAACGTATCGAGTGATCAATGTTAAAGTTTTAAGGGGCCTACTCGCGTGTAATAAGGGGCAATATTCAAAGTCATATTATATGGTTTGAAAATAGAGCAAAAAGGCAGGCCACGTACAGGCCCCTTAACTAATAATAGTAATAAGAAATATTAAAATAATAATATTAAATATTAAACCATATTATCCGATATACTGGTTTGCTCGTGTTACCCACTGTACAATTTTTATATTTTTCATGATATGCCTAATATATTTAATATTAAATGAAACGAATGTTATATTTATATTTAGTCCAATCAGTTATTTATTATAGTATTGTATTTTTGGGCACAAGTATATAATTGTCATGATATTTCTTTAAAAAGTACCTACTTAAACACGTGTAATTAAATTTATTTTTAAGATACCCAAGATTATAAGTAATAATTTTGTTTATGACTCGTTCAATTTACTGAAGATTAAAAATGTATATTATAAAAATGTTTTATAATTACCTTTTATAAATTAAACAATAACATTAATTATGTCACTCACAACTTACTATAGTTGTGCATGTTAGAGTGAAAATATAAATATTAGTGGTCCTATCTTCTTTAAACAATTTTATGTAAAATGCTCTTTATCCAAAATTAATAAAAAATAATTTTCATAATGTAAGTTCACTTAAGTCATTCTTAAATAATGTAAATTTTAATCATATATGTTTATGCATAATTAAATGTACATCTATTTAGATACATGACAACTCAATTTTAACTCCCCATACAGACACAAAGTAAACTCCCCAGTAGATACAAAGATTATTTTAATATAACATATATTTTTTAAGTTACCTAACAGGAAGTACTAAGTTGGATACTTTAACTATCTAGTTAAATTATTAACTCTTTGACTAGTATAGATGTGTGTATATACGATTTTAAAATCACTGCCAAAACGAGCAAGTAAGTTTTCTCCGAAAATTCCTATTTGTTTGTGTTTCTCCTTTAAATTAAATAATATATAAAATATGTGCTGCCATCTGTGAACATTTATTTCAACTAATCGATTTATTTTCTAAGTGCATTATATACGTCTTCGGTTTTAATTTTTTTTTGCCAAGCATATGGTTCCAGAGGAGCTCTCTGAGTCACATTTAAGGTGGGTATTCCAAAGCTGCTTGTCACAAAGGGTTAAGTTAATTGAAATTACTACTTAGTTCAGTTCAGAATTTTTTAAAAAATGAATCAATTACACATTTTCACTACTCGAACTATTATATTGCTATAATAATTATTATAGTAGTTATGCCTTATTATAGTTTTTGCAATTTAATTACACTAATTGTTGATTACCGCACATTATGAACACAATAATGTTATTTATAGTGTAATAACTAATTTTGAATTGAATCAAACAACCTGTCATTTGTTTATCAAAATAGGTAGACAGCGCAGTTCTTATTTTCTTATTATTATTTTCAGTTTTGATTAATATGAATTGATATAAGGGAGGGGTAGAAATGACACATAAGGGACACAATCATTTTTTTTTTTTTATCATATTCTTCATACATTAGTACGTACCTAATTTTTTGGTAGGCACATGATAAACAATTTAATAAATTAAAATAAAATGGTTTCTATAAATTATTATTTAATTATGAACATAAAATAAATTATAAATTATAAATATTATCATTGGTGAGACGCTGAGACCCAGCTATTTTCAAGTCAAAGTCATCATTTATCCAACTTAAGTTTCTTAATAACAAACATAATATTATATTTAGATTTTATGTGATTATCTTATAAGCTTAATGTGGGTACAATAGTTGTTGTAAAAATAATATAAAACATTTTGTATGAGGACTGGTTAACAACTTGAAAGTATAATAAATGTATAATACTTATTATACCTAATCCATTTCGAAATGTCGTAGGTAGGTAGCTTCTATTTTTTTTTAGTAGTAACTAAAAGATCTAATAATTAATATTGTAATAATACCTAACAGAATAAATCGTTGCTAATTATTATTTCTTTCTCTTATCTAGGTACTACAACAAAGTGTATTAATTGTTCGTAGATATTATATTATATAGTTATAAAATATATTGGCATGATTATATTTTAATATAAAATTGTTTTGTTTTTTATTTTTATTATAAAAATTATACATAAAATATAATATTATAAGAATAATAGTCTTCCGTTATAAGAGTTTAACCTATAAAATATAATATATTATATGGATAGAAAAATAGTTTTAGTTGTTTTAATTAATGATAAAAAAAAAAATTAGTAAGACTGTCTCGTGGAAAGCATGCACCCATCCACTGCCCCCCCAGGCCACAAGTCTAGTGGCGATGACCCTTCCAACATCTACGCAGCGTCCACCGTTTGATAATGGTTGTTATACGAAGGCGGAGCGTATTTGTGACGGTTCTTTTCCGACTCCTCTCTGAGTTGGTGCAGCACTGGCGATTCTTTGGAGTTTTGGAACGAAGCCGCCGCCAACTGCGAGTAGAGTTTGCCAGGTGGTTCGTTAGACTCTTCGACATAACCGCCGTCAGTGGTGCCTGCCGAGTGCTGGTAGTAAGTGGGCGACGGAGGTGCCGGTTGCGAGTACTGAGTGGACGGCGATTGGGCAGCCGAGTACTGGGACGGCGGTGATGCTGAGTACTGGGACGGCGGTGGTGCCGAGTACTGGGAGGGCGGTGGTGCCGAGTACTGGGGCGGTGGTGATGCCGAGTACGGCTGAAGTGCCGTTGGATTCGGAGGATAAGACGACCATGGGACTAACCTATATTGTGGTATACGCAAACAAACAAATATTGATAAAAATATTGAATAAATATGGATGGTTTAAGAATTTTATGACGTGTGCTCGACAAATTAAAATATTTTCTACGCACTCAGACCAATGAAATAAATAAAAAATTATTATTTATAGATTATATTATGCCCACGGGTCCTCTATAATAATTTTATGCAGATTGCAGATTCGATTTCAGTTTGTCAGGCACTTTTGATTTTTTACTCGGATACTGGATTGGTACTCAATTATTGTATTATCTGTTATAACCTCACGATATGAAGACGTATTAGTTAGTTAAATAATAAGCTCTTTTTAACTGCCTTTTATTTAATACACTCGTGATTCTGGACGATACTATTAATAATTGTAGTTTGTGATTATTTACAGAAGAGCTATCGAGAAAAACCACATCCACCAGATTTATAATTTAGTGCTATCCAGATCTACGAAAATCTAAGCTACTAACATTAATCTCACCTGACTGGCGATGGCGCTGGCACGGGGCCCGCGGGTATAGCGTACAACGTGGTGACGAACACTGGTCCAGCTCGGAGGAGATCCACTGGAACCGGGGCTACGACCATACCAACCGGGATTGACATGCGGTAACCACCATGCAAGATGGTAACTGACTTTGGGAACGGTATAAGCGTCCGTTCGTCATACAGGTAGAACGGTTGCTGCAACTGCACTTGCACCGCGGGAGTAGCTTCCTGCAACCACAATGATATTATTACAATATACCTACACTTAACCTTGGGATTGACCTTGGTTATTCGTTCAAAGTTTTCAAAATATGGAACAAAAATAAATTATAAATTAATATTGTTTCTTTTGATTCGAATTTATTTATTTTGAATTGTATTCATAATTTCGATGAATTACGAAACTTGAACTTTCTTTCCAAAATTATTTTTTCCTTAAAATTGTATAGTTCATAGTTGTTCCAGTAAAAAACATAATTTATGAATATTATAATATTAGAAAAACTGATATAAAATAGGTAGGTACTAACAAGTTGGTGATTTTATCAGTGAATACTGAATAGTGATGGTGATAAATTATAATATTACATTCTGACTGTCTTTCTGGTTTCTTCTGACCTATTTTTTAGTTGTTATTTGTTATTATTTTTCTCACGACCCAGATTAGTTGGACAATATAATTATCATCGTCATCCGTCGATACAATTTTTTATAGATTATTGTTTTCTTATTATATTAATTTTATTTTTAATACAAATTATTTAACTAGGTAGTACTTAGTGGTTACTATACTCTATTTTGCTTTTATCGTTATTTATAATTAAAACGTTATCCAACTTTTGCATTTATAGTTATTCAGAATAGTGTTAATACCTATTAAATTAAAAAAATATAATAACTAATGAGGGAAAGTTATGGCCCGGATACGGAATATAATAAATTAATTTCTTAAATTGTCTGGATGAAATAAATGTTTCTACGAAACCAATAGATCTTTTAAGTAAATAGATTTTAAAACATTACGTTTTGCCTTACGTTTTGTTTAAATGATATATAATATATTTTGTTAATCGTTATGTTTTGTTTTTCAGTATTTAATTATTTTTTATTATCGCTTTCCATTATTACGTTTACACATTTCAATCGTCTTTTGTCAAATATAACATTATAACCATAACGTTATTATTAGGTTTGCAAGCTCTGCTTCTAACAAATACGAATAAGTTTGTTATAACTTAAGATAATCTAAAATAAAATCTTACTACTTTTTTGACATTCTTGTATGTAATCTAATGGTGTTTGTGGAGGGGATGCTAAATGTACCATGATAATTTGCTCAAAAAATTGTTTGTACCATAATTTAACAGTAAATGTAATTATAATTATATAGTTAATATACAATTATATTTTTAACTTTTTATACTTTATAGTAATAAAAAATTGGCAATTAAATATTAATAATAATAATAATAAAAATAAAAATTACAACTTCTCATAAGGAAATCTCAAATCACAAATAGGCAGTTGCGTATTTAAGGGGGGGTCCAGGGGTACTGGACCCCCCCAGAACCTCTCTTTCAAAAAAAAAAAAAAACTCTTACATATTTGCTAACCCAGATTTATGTAGGCTTTCGCGGACATGGTTTTTTCCCGTGAACAAAATATTTATATGAAATATAATTTAAAATTAGCCAACGGACGCTGTCGAACGCTCAAAAACCCACCGCCTCTGTGTACCTAAACTTTTCCTTGTATTATATGTACCAGGTAGGTACCTATATTACCACTTAATAAAATACCTGCAATAGATAAACATCAATATTTCTCGAATCTGTCTAAACGCATTGCAAGAAATTGACGACGCACATCGTTCTCCTATAAACTATTTCTATAGGTAGCTATTATTAATCTATTTGAATTTTTGCTTTGTAAACAAGGCAATTGTCGTAGAACTATTTACTTCATGTTTGTATTTCGTTACCGAACGACGGCGCGGGGGTGACTTGTACAGTTCATATTTAAATATTTTTTCAATAAAATAGATAATATCTATTACGCTGTAAGTACCAAATAAATATATAATAAATTAGTAAATAATAATAATAGCTCATTTATCTGATGTGAGCCGTAAGGAATATATTATTTTTAAAAATAGCTAAAAACATTAATGTGATTTGCACGGCGTTTACTGGACTACAATTAGTGTTAATTAAGGACCATGTTTACCTACGTCCTATTTATTTTCTGTCCAGAGATTAGCGAGTGATATTTACGATTATTGTTATAATGTCATGTTTCTACAATTTAAAAGATTCTCTCGTACCACAAGAAATTTTGGATGAACTTTGTAAAAAAAAAAGACTGTTTGATTATGTACTTTAAAATTATAAAATATACTTGTGTTAAAATTAACCGATGAAATTTAAAATAACTATTAAAATGTAATAAAAAACTATTTTCTATTCTCATAATCTATAAAATATTATTTCTTTAAACCAGTAAGTACCTATATTATGTCAGAATTATTGGACCCCGCCCCCCCCAGAAAAAATTGAAAATAGCCACTGCAAAAAATATGAACACTTAAAAGAATAAATTAATGTATTATATTGTGACGGTTTTAAAAAATACATAATTGAAGATTGTAGTGTAGCATTAAAAAATAACTATCATGACTTGCGTATAAATTAAATTACGTTCCCGAAGCGTTTTTCCAGTTTAATTATTTAAATGTAGATATTTATCTGGCATCAGTATAATTATAACTTAATCTAAACTATACAGTCATATAATAGATATATCTATTATGGTAATTTAAAATATATAATTATTCCACCATCGGTGTTAAACCCTCAATAACTATCATAGATAGTTTCAAATTAGTAATTAATATTATATTTTCATAGACTATAAAGGTTATATACAATATTATATTTATGTACTATAACTGATCTCGTGAACTTCGTTGCCCGTAAAAAAAATTCAAAAATCTTACATGATTAAAATATTCTTTAATTGGTTATTTAATATTTGGTGTAATGGTGGTAAAAATTAAATTAATAGAAAAAATGAAAATATGTAATTTGAAACCAGCGGATATAGTAATAACTAATAAGTAACTTTTTTTTTCATACTGGTTACCACATATTGTTAGTAGAAATAAACAAAATACAAATATGCGGTTATGGTTTTAACCCACTCTAAACAATATAATATGGACCAATTATCAAAAACAGTTTAAAGAGCTTCCAGTTGATGAAAAAAAAAGTGAATTTTAGATCAAAAAGTCTGAATCAAAACTGGAGGAATTTGATTTGACGGATTTTAATTTTTAAAACAGATTATGATTGATTAACAAGTTTACTAGGTTTGACCAGAGGCAATTTTTAATATTCCAATTATTGTTAGTGTCATAATGAATAATAAAAATACAAAAATATCATATTTTAACTATGGATATAACAGCTGAAAAAATATATATTCAAAATAATAAATAGTAAACTTGGTAATCACTGGAAATCAGTTTTAAAAATTGAAATCCGTCAAACTAAATTCCTTCCGTTTTGTCTGGGTTTTTGGTCTATAAACCACTTTTTTTTGTAAATGAAAAAAGAATATCCAATTTAATAACCAATGCAATGCCAATGTTAATGTATGTACGTATGTAAGTAAGGTTGGTATTATCACGGACCAAGATAGAGAGGACTGGAAACGATAAGATAGGCGGGTGACGGGGAGCTGGACCCCAATTGCCTCAGTCCCTCTACTCTTCCCAGCCCAAATTTGTACACAGCTAACATGTACGCTATCTGCTTGGTAAAATGTCAACTATTTTTATAGTATAATTTTAATTATTATCATCATTACATATTCCGCACAGCGACTAGGTGGCGTTAAGACCAGCTGTGTACGAGGGAAATCAGTAGAGGCACTTCGGACCCGTTAAAAATGTGCTCGTTTCCAGTCCTCTCTATCTTAGTCCGTGGTATTATGCGAGCCTACTGTTATAATTCAGGACATTTCTAGAAAATATTGACCAAAAACGATTACAGATTAAACTCACACATACTAATGTTCATTTAATATCATCATATTAAATTGCCTATATTAATTTACTTATAAAACACGACCGACTTAAGAGCCCCCTCAGATGATGTCCAATCATAATCATATCGATTTCTATCGCGATTCTTGAAATCCTTGTGTGATTGTGGGTGCACCGCTTTAAAATGTGAATTTAGGAAAATCCTTTTTTAGAGCACCATTACATTTTTGGTTACGAAGGTACTGTCAAAATGTGAAGTCTCTACTCTCTAGATATCATAGTTTAGGCTCTATGTTGATCAGACAGCCGGGACATGTTCGATTATATATATATTATATATTATGTAGATATATATAATAGTATACCAATGTATATATGTATAATTAAAAGATAAAAAGATAGTTTTTCGACTTTCAATTTACAACTGAAACTAAGAAAATCATATTAAATAACTTCATCATATTTTAATTACATAATATTAAATGTGTAGTCGAATATAACAATGCTGAACAATTGTTATCTAAAAACGTAAGAGTACAAAGGATAATTAGTTAGATCACGTCCAAAGAAATCTTTATTCTTTAAATAGTTAGACTAGTAAGTCCGTGAAATACTTTTATTGTAAGTTGTATGGACAAAAGACTCGATTTGTAGCGGTCTAGTATGTGCTTGTAAGGTAAAAGTGTTTTATAACCCATTTATTAAGTGTGCTCGACTATTTCGTAATTTTTCGCCGTTTGAAGTTTATGCCGTTTTTTTGTCCACTATTTATTTACGCTTCATAAACTTAAATGAACGAAATGTCATTAAAACTTTTAAAACGACTTGTCCTTACTGAATAAATTAAATATTATACACCCACATTTAATTAGGATGTATTTTTTAAACAAGAGTGTTTTTAATAGACTTTCTTTTTATAAAATTTTCTTTTCTAATATTCATTTTAAAATGTTGAAATTTTTGCACGTGTCACATTTAGTCCACATACCTGTCCTATGCCTAATATATTATCAATTATCATTGCCATGTTAAAGTGACCTACCGAAATATAAATCACCGTTAACCGATATGGCCACACAAAATAAACTTTATACAGATACAATACTCTCGTTTCTGATAAACCCAAATTATATAATATATTCATATTGCATATACAAATATAATATTATATTATTACTGCAATACATTATAGCATATAGGTAAATATATAATTACCAAATACCTAATTAATAACAATACTTAGAGCTGAGGATTAATACTTTGATGTACACTTATATTATAATCTAAACGATGCTAGTTAATGAAATACACAATGTTAACTTATATAAGTTGTCAAGCAAAAATTCTAAAAATCATCATCATTAAAAATTGCAGTACGTAAGGAGAGTTGTTTTCTTACACTTACAAAACACATAATAATATTATATAAAACTATAGTTGTTATTGTTAATATAGTTCTAATTTCATTCATTTATATTCCTTATAGGAATATAAAGAATAGTTAAAGTAATAGCAATATTAACGAAAAAATAATATTATATATAGGTACTTACGAACGATTTGGTTAATGATTTGCACATTATTATTGGTTCAGTTTTTGAAACGCTGTCGATCTGTGGCCGATAAATCATCCTTAGATCTGAGGACGGAACTTGCACCACTGGGATCAGCACAAAGTTAGCCACATTCACGGGTCTCTCTGTAAACACAGCTAACGGCCTTTGAAACTCGGGTTCGTAATTATTTTGGTAGTTATCGTTCGACGGAAGTGGGCCGTACGATTTTTGTGGATCCGATCCCCAACAAACGTCCAAAGTGATCACAAACAAAACCATCGTCCGAAGGAGCATTTCCTCAAAAAATAATTTAATTGTTTACAATCAATTTAATTTATTAGCATAGTTTAGTACGTTTATTCTAATTAGTAGATATATTATAAATTATTATAACCAGTTTGTTTGAAATGTATGTTGCATTAAAATTGATTTACGATTGTTGCATACCTATATAATATTATAATATATTGCTGGAATTACGTTCGAAATATACTTAGCATTAAGTTTTTTTTTATATATAATGTAAAATAGAGTAGGGTTTTTAAAGTAAATATTATAAAACTGTTTTAAAAAATTTAACGTCTCAGCGTCAATAATCAGCGTTCAAAACACCCACCCGACCCTACCTGGTTGGTTTTAAATGGGTTTGAATGGGTAATAATGGGTTTTAATAATTTGCAAATGAATGCCGTTTCTTGACACTTTTTTACTTCCCTACAAACAAACCTATAAAAATTTGTAGCAAGATGCTGTAAAAAGTAAAATAAAATGTACCAATTTTATCATAAAAGTTAATATTGTTATTATTAAATTTTGTCAAATTGGTTTTTACTGAGTTGTATAACTGAGCCCGACCCATTACTTCGAATCCTGACAATACTGCGCAGTAATACATCGACTACCTATTGAGTTTAAACCTACCTAATGAATCATAAATTACAATTTATGCCCTGCAGGACCGATGCTATTATCAATGAAAATGTTCGTTCGGGAAAAACGTAAAAACGGCAGTGGCGTAAAACAGCAGTCGGGAAGAAAAACAGAAAGAAAAATAACACGAAATCGAAAATCACTTACCTTCAGTGTTGCCGTCACGTCGCGGCCGGTCATCATATCGCCCATTTATCGACGTGCCTTATATATTGTGTATACTTGAATAACGTTGCTCTTTGGCTGAGCCTGAAGACCAAATGGTAGCGTGTGCACCGGGTCACCGCCTATAAAAAGGACAAGCGATGAGCTTCAGTGGCAAAACGGTCGCGTAACAGAGGTATAACCCGAACAGGTACCTATTATAGGTAATGTACATTTGTATATATATATATATATATATATATATGCCTACATACGCCCCACATTACCTGGGTGTTCAGTATGCGCAAAGCGTGCAAAAGTAAAAGTTTTCCCGAAATTTAAAAATAAATGAAATACAACAAAAGAGGCGCGAACAAAACGATAGACTTAGGTATAGTGTATGAGTATATATAAAGCATTGTAGTAGGATAATGCTCGCGCTTTCGTCGACCTTGCGTCGACATGTATATGTTATTATATTGTATTCAAGCGCATTCTCTCGAATCATAATGGCCAATACAGGTGTCTGGCATTTTTTTAACAGAAAAATAATTATAATCTCGAGGTATATAGGTACACGTTGCAGCAGACCGCATAAAAACCGTCTATGAGCATTATTTCTCGACGACGTTTGTACATAATATAGCATAATAATATAGAGGTACATGTGTTATAATATATATAGGTAAATAGGTTAGGTTATACTTATATATTATATATACAGCGATTATATTATAGGTATTTATTGTATACAAGTATTACCTATATATATTTATATACGTTCATCGTTTCATAATCACAAAAAAATCTTCTATCTGTATAAGGATGTCGTACTGTACGAATATTGTTTTGTACACAATTTGTAGAATTTTAAATTTTATAAAAATAAATGAATAATAATCTGGTCGTTCGGTCGAAGTGAAATTCAATTATCGTTTAATTGCGCTATTATCGATGTGGAGACATTTATAGTATATTTTTTATTACTAGCACTAAAAAATATGTGGTTTTAATATTAAAATAATGGCCTGGCAATAAAATTCAATGCAGATTTTAAATAAAGAAGAAGAACTTTATTCGTGGAGTAATTGAGTCGCAAAATATAGTGTAGGTATTTGAGGCAATCACTAAAAATCTAAACTCTTTATTTGACAAAATATTTTTTATAATTATTATAATTTCGTATTTTATATTGATATTATATCTTTAAAGTTTAATTAGTTCAATTATTACAGTGCTTTAGACAAAAGTGTAATTCTTATAAACTATAATACAGTTTTAAGTTTACCCATTATAACACTCATGCATAATATTATATTAAATTGTTGTATTTATGTTGCATATTTTAAAATTAGTTGTCTGAATCATTCATCAAATTCACAAAATGTATGGATACTATATAATTCGACGCATGACTAAATCTAATACGTTTTCTTTTTTAAATCAAATTGAGAATGTTATTTATTCTCAAGACAAATTCATTTTTGATTACACGTGTATAATGCAGGAATGCATAAAGTATATATTATGTAGTGAGTATTATGTACCCACTAATATAAATGTAATATGTATAAATATTTTTTTTTTTATATGTAAATCAATTTGTAGAGTTGAACATATCTCGAAAACAATCAGCATGCGAATACGTACGTAATTCATATGTTGAGACGTATATGTAAATTAATGCAATTTAAAACACATTAGGTATGAAATAAAATGTCTATAGCATCTCTGTTGTAGTCGTGCGTTTATATTATATAGTTATTGTACCTACCTATATAAAACAGTGCGAATAACACCACGCGGTACAATGATCTACACGGATAAGTATAAATTGTAGTTATAATATTTTTATTGCGTTGTTGTAAAACGATCCGAAAGTGGGATAAGTATATAATATTATTATGTAGGTACATTCTTGCCGAAGACTGTCAATATAATAATACAGGTAAATAACAATATAACGTCTGTGGTGGACGCAAGCATCGTCATAATATACTAGCATTGTAAAAATCGTGTAAAGTATTGTTGTACTCACTGTAATAGATAATGACGTGATATAGGTAAAGTTGCAACGTGAAAAAAATAACTACGTCCAGGCCGCATTGACAGGCATTAAGGTATATAGAACCCTATCCCGCAGATGGACGATCGCGTTAAATAAGTATTATTATAGGTTATTGCAATTTTTTTCTCTCGCCTTAACGAATATTGCACCGTACACACATAATTCCAAGTGTTGGATATTTGCGGCAAAGTCGTTGACTGCAGAGGTCCTCGACACCGAGGTTTGCCCACACTTTTATTATACCTACTTATATTATTACTATGTACATATAAATACATAGCTAGGTAGGTATAACGCCCGACCTAATATCCGAACGCATTAAAGCGACAAACAAATACTAAACGTTTTTATTTTTTATTTTTGTACCTGGGTAGGTTACATGAAACAGTGAGATACATAATGTATTATATATATATATATATATATATATAATTATTTAAACATGTGTAGGACTACGTCATGATATTATTTATTATATATTATTGTATTTTATAGTAGGTATGTAGGTACGATGGCCGTAGTATGCATGAACGGACGTCTTTCCCGCACGCCGGAAAAATTATAAAAAATAATATAGGCTTAAATACCGTATACATAATGTCACGTCGGAGTCAAGTTGAAGGACACCCCACTCATCTGTACATCATGTAGTTATTATAATATTATAAACTTGATGCCATGAATACATTTTAAGGAAACAGATAGTTTTCTATTTATGTCATAATATACGATTTCGTAAGATTAATAATAATAAGGCTATTGTACATGGCCCATTATGGCTGCAGTAGTATTATATTATATAGAGCGATCCAAAACTTTTAAAAATCATACATTGCTTGGTCGGTGTATTGACCCCTCTTGTAATACGTCGTATTATTTTATAGAGGCCTACTTATTACCATTATTAATATTCACAAATATTCCAAAAACCAGTTTCTTTGAGATTTACGGTTAGTTACTATAATACACCACTTTATGACGACAGTATACTATTATATTTGGTAAAATGGCAAAAAGTCAACAAAAAATACACGAGAATGTACAATTTTTAATTCTAAAAATGTTGCGAAGTAAAAAATTTGCATTTTAGAACTGTAAATTTGTACACGTTTGTTTATTGGATACATTTGGGATGTATCCATGCCATTCAGCAATTCAGCATATTTGCCTCTTGTAACTACATTTGGTTTAGACTAGGTATCTACATATTATTTTATTAATTTTTATTAATACAAACAACTTATATATACTAATACAAATAATTATACCACTATAATAGGTACACCAAGAATATAAATAATATTTTTAATTAAATTGAATTAGTTAATAATTAATATAGACAACAAAAGACTATATTATTATTTAATACAAAGTATTTCATTAGTTTTGATATAAAACTATATCGTCATTGAAGAATATTAAAAATCATCTCAACGTTTCATATTACTTATATACCTACCTAGTGATATAAACCACAGTTAGATTGCTTATTATGCTTAATAATATTAAACATTTTTAATACAAATAAATAACATAAAAAGTATATGTTTATAATAAATTATAAATTGTAAGGTAGTTGAAGGTATTTAATACTCAATTGTTAATACTATTTTTATATTAGAATACATTATGTATTTATACATGGCTATTTGTTTATTGTACTATTTATATCTATAGCATTTTGTTCAACACATGTAGTTATATAAGCTTTCAGAAACTTAATATTCATACATTTAAAAATTAAATTTTATTTTTTAAGAGAGCTTATTTTTTTTACTTAAGGCGTGTAAAAATTAGAAATATTCATTGAATTTTTAAGTTTATTTCACAAGCCATAACATTAAAAATATACTTTACAAATTTTATTAATATAAGTAGGTATTTTGTTTTTAAATATAATTAATAAGTACAGAGGAATGATAATGTTGAATATTTTCACTGTAGTATAGAAATTTGCTGAATTGTTATTTTATTACAACACAATTAATGTAAAAAAAACAAATAATACAATTTTTTCTTGGACATTTTTTACTTACGTCACAGGTATCTGAATATTATAATAATATGTTTAAAGTTTATACCGAAATATCAAAGCGATATGATAATAATATATATAGGGTATTGAATATTATAATATTATAATATATGATATTCAATTGTAATAATATATATTAATATATAATGTACTATTATGTAAGTATTGTATTACTATAACTACAAAGCATTGGTGACTGTAATTTCATAAACTAAACAGTAAAAACTACCGGAATGTGAGTTTAAAAATTAAAAATTCTTAATTCTAACCCGATTTATAGTTGTACTTCTTTATTTATTTCCTACTCATAAGAGTTATATTTAAAACAATGTCTATATAACACACCTACGGCTATTAGAAGTAAAAATAAATGAAAATTATAAATTCAATTTCAACTAAAATATATATTATAATAAATCTGACTTCAAAAACCAGCTAAATACAGTTTAAGAATTGGAAGTTTGGAAAATACAATAGAAAAAACAGCAAATTTTCAAAATAAAATTGCATATTTATTTGTCTTGGCTTATAGATTAATATTTTCAAATAACCTAACTTTATTTGGATAATTTAGTATAAACACTCAAATATTATAATAAAGAGTAAAAAAAAAAATAAACTTTACCTGACAAAAAATGTATTATGTTATATTGCAGCACTATCCTTGAACTTGTTCATCTGTGTACAAAAAATGAAGTCACTACTCACTAGTATTCAGAACCAGAACGAACATGGAATTAAATTCGAATTCGAATGATTCTCAGTTTGGCAGGTCACTTGTTCTACGTCCTCATGCTCGCAAATACCCCCACTACAATACATAGCATTTTGAAATGTCAGAAGATACAAAATTATAGTCATCCCGCAGTGGTAAATGAATATAATACTTAAGTCAATTGGTATGTACATTTTTTTATCCATCCCGTTCCTGTTATTAAATAAAAC